TTAAGGACTCATGTTTACGTCCAAAATATAAACTTTGACTGCTAGCTCTAAGTATAGGGGAGTATTTTACAAGCGAAAGTGTGAAGTTGCAATTGATTGGACTCTTTTAAGGCTTTAATCAATGATAACTTATAAAGTATCGATTAAGTAAATAAAAATTAAACTTGTTACATAAATAATGTTAAAGTATGACGAAACCTAAATACTACTGATATCGTTCTTAGAGAAGAATTGAAGTATTATTTCATATATATGCATTACAATTTTTTTTACACCATTTATATGTATTACAATTAAATATTTTTCAATATGAAATTTTAATTCTGATTAGAAAAAAATACTACTACCAATATTTATAATACTGTATGTAAGTTATATATTCTAATTAGGATATTAAGTAAATAAATTAAAATAAAAAATACTAACTAAACAATTATCTAATTTACACACATAAAGATTGAGCAAATAAAAAATTTATTAACTAAAGAGTTATTTAATTTATTGGGATTAAAGTTAAAAAAAAATATTAAAAAAATATATTTCTTTTAATTAATTTTTAAATAATTTTAGCTATTTATTTTTTATAAATTTTTTTGTTTTTTTATTTTATTTTATAAGTTACAACTGTGGTTGTTGGAATTGATTGATGATAATTACATATTATCTAGGTTTTGTTTTGCTTCAATTATTTCTTGTTGGTTAATGATAAGTAGGTAGTTACGTAGTTGCTATTTTCCAAATCCGTGTGGAAGAACCAACGAAGTATAGGTTCTAGACGTGCACGACTAGCTAGCATGGGAATCGACTTTAGATTTGCATTTCGTAAATATCACACTACTTTCAATTTGTACCCACGAAATAGTTTTTCTTTTACTTCATAGGAACAATTGTTTTTAAAAAATTATGGAAATGGTTAAATTAAAAAAAAAATTAAAATGGACAAGTCGTGTTTGTGAAATGACTTTTAAAGTGTTTTAAAGTCCTGTTTCACGAACACAATTTTTAATATTTTTAAGAAAAAATAAACATCAAGGTCTTAATACATAACATGTTTTCTTTTTAAATAAATAAAGTGGTAAGTCCTAATTTTCATTCACGCTTGCTTTTAAGCTTTTTTTTATATGTTAAAAAGGTATTTATTTTTATGTAAAGTTAGAAGAAGAAAAAAAATTGTTTTAAAGCATGACTTCTCTTAAAAAAATAAATTAAAATCTTGTTTCATAATTACGACTTACGCATTTTGAGATTTTTTTTAAAGTTATACATTTTGGAAATTTCTTAAAAAAATCCCTTTGAGATAAAAAAAATCCAAAATACATTTTCTGTCATATGGAGACCTATAATTAATTTACTATTTTAGCCTTAAACAATTTTGTCGCATGCATTATAAGATTATTTCTTTTGTCTATATAAATCAAACACAATATTAAAGAGATTTATAATAACTTACACACCCTACTTATTTAATTGAACTACATTTCCTTGATATAATTCACCAAAAAAAAAACCTCCTTGATATTATAAATTATTAATTTGAGATAAATGAAAAAATGAGTATTTTTTATTCATTAATTATTATTAATATCGTTTTTTTTTATAATACCTTAAGTTATATCATATATTTTTTTAATAAAAGAAAAGTTTGTTATGATGATAATCATGATTAAACTTAACTCCCCGTACATTTATCCAATCCCTCTCTCCATTAGATTGACCAAATATTTTTAAGTATACCTATATAAAAACATATGAAGTGAAAGACCAACCATAACAAATATAGATGATAAAGCTTATAAATTATTCAATAATACACTTGAAATGTGTAATGACGCATATAGTTGCTATGTTGAGCATATGATATGTTGAAATGATTGTATTGTTCATGTACATTGAATTGTGTTATTGTGTTGACTAAAAGTTGGACTATGTTGATTTGTGTTGTATATTGTAATGCTTTGTTGTTGTGTTGTCAAAGATGTGATGATGTTGTGATGTTCCTAGGTTGTGTGTGTGTGTATATATGTATGTATATTTTTCTTTTAATTTGATAGGCAAAAAAATTTGATCTAATAATCTATATTTATTATTCTTATTTCTATAATAATCAATAGTTGTTACTTGATATACTCTATCAAGTAATTGTTAAAATCCAATTTATTTAGTAATATGATAAAATTATTATTAAAGTAATTATACCATCAATAATATGATTAAATTGAAACAATTTTGATAATTGGCTTAATTCAATTTCGGATGCACACCTCATAGTTTCATTTCATCCAATCATCTAATTGTTTTTGTTACGGATGGACTTAGCCCTAATTCATATAATGATAATTTTGTCAATTATACTATTGAAAATAAACAAACATTATTCATTTATATTATATATAATTTATCAATAAGTCGTTATTATAGTGAAGTTAGAGTCGGTCTTTTCGAAGTAAAATTTCGAGATTAATGGTATTTCGAACATGTTTATCTTATTTACCGAAATTAAATTATACTACTTGTAAAGAAGAAGAAAAAAAAAGATGGTGTCGATCAAATTGGAACGAACTTTTTAGTCCAACAGTTGAATGATTGGATTGCTTGGCCGACCAATCTGAATTAATCTAACAATTGACTTGCATGAGAGTTGAGTTGAGAAGGTCAAACCTTCATAAATATTTTTCAAATTCAAAAACAGAGTGTTTTTTTGTTACAATAAGAAAAACAGTTTAAGCAACTGAAAATCATGATTAAAAAGGATTTATGATTATAAAGAGACCTTTTTTTAATAATAAGATTCAACATCTAATTGTAAGAAATTTTTTATATTATTTTTTAAATAAATTAACATCATTATGACTTTTTTTTATGTCTAAATGAAATGTAATATACTTAAGTTTTGATATCTTTCTCGTTACTTTTTTTTTTATACATTACTCATAAAGCAATAAAAATATTTTTTGGTCTCACCATAAATTTATAGATTTTGAAGTTTGATTTTAGTCACTCAAGATTTTTTTATGCTATTTTTTTCCTCGAAATTATTTAGATAAATTTTCATAATAAAAGATAAAGTAGAAGTTGACTTAGATCATGTGTATATTTTTGTATTATATTTCTTCTTATTCCTATTGTAAGTCACAATTTAGAAATAATTGATGGTTTTTTTACAATTTTTCAAAAGTATTAATTTTAGATTTTACTATTTGTTTCTATTGAAAAGTGTGAGAATATGTATTTATCTTTCATCTCTTATATTTTTCAATTGTCATTTATATTTTTTATTGGTATTGTTGTATAAGCTTTTATATAGAGTAATTTATTTACTAATCTCATAAAAAATTAATGATAAGTAAGGAAGATAAAATTGGTAAATTTATTAAAATTAATCAATATAGCTACTTATATTGATTTGTGTGATTCAGTAAAAAATGTTTTGTAAATTGTAATAAGAATAGAAAAGAATAAATGTTTATATGTAATAAGTCCTATTTAAGTGGTGAATGGTTGGCTTGAAGTAATATGCATAAGATTATAAGTTCAAACTTTATTGAAATTATTATACAAATATATATATATATATATATATATATAATTAAATAA